AAAAAACCCACACCAATGTTTATCTTCTTAAAATTATGGCATATCTTCAAAGAAGATTCTCATCTCTCAAGCCTCAAATCCGTTCTGAGCGGAGGCCGCCGCGTCTGCTGTCCCGTGCAGTCACTTTCACGATGGCAGGCTTACCAGGAGCAGTCCCCGCTCATCCTCTTCTGCTGGGCCGTCTGGCACGTGCTCGGGGGAGTAAACACCGTGGGGTCTTTAATGCCCAGCTGAATGTCGAAAAACCGCGTGGACAATATCACACTGTAATTTTTGGTGAAGGTTTCCTGGACAGGATAACAATCCTTGACTGTGTAAATGCCAATCCAGGTTTCATCTATCAGAGGAAGGGAAGTTGACATTTTAATACAGAAGACAGGCAAAATGCCTATATTTATTTATTTTTTTTATTGTGGTAAAATATACATAGCTTACCATTTTAACCATTTTAAGTACAGTTCGTGGCATTAAGTACATTCACATTGCTGTGTAACCACCACCACCACCACCACCACCCTCTCCAGAACTTTCTCACCTTCCCCAAGTGAAACTTGGTACTTGTTAAACTCCCTGCCCCAACCCCTGGCAATTACTATTCTACTTTCTGTCTCTATGAACTTGACTACTCCATTACCTGATATCAGTGGAATTATACATTATTTGTCCTTTAGTGACTGGCTTATTTCACTTAGAATAATGTCCTCTAGGTTAATCCATGCTGTAGCATGTGTCAGAATGTCCTTCCTTTTTAAGGCTGAACAATATTCCATTGTTTTAATACACCACATTTTGTTTATCCATTCATCTGCTGATGAGTACTTGAGGTGTTTCCTTCTTCTGATGATGATGAATAATTCTGCTATGAACATGGACGTTCAAATATCTGAGTTCTTGCTTTCAATTTTTGGGGGTATATGCCCAGAAGAGGAATGCTGGGTCATATGCTAATTCTATGCTTAATTTTTTGGTGAACTGCCATACTGTTTCCCACAGCATAAAGACCTGCATATTTTACACAGTTTGGGGTAGGTATGTTGGCAGCAGAGCAGAGAAGAGCTTCACATCTATGTATAAAAGCAGACACTCAAAATAATCAGAGTAAATCTGGTCACTGTATGGGGGAAAGAAAAGGAGGCACTCAATTCTAACATGTGCCCTAAACAAACGCCTTCCATGTCACTGGTCTCAGGGGTAGGCGAGGGATCATTAAATGTCAGAGTCAAGACTAAGTCCATAAGAACTAATGTGGCAGAAAGATACAGGTGGTGCTAGAAAGCTGAGGTGTTTCGAATATGATGCTCAGATCCTGGTGCCATACAGCTAGCAGAGTACATGTGAGGTCTTCAATGGGTGGCAGGGGTGGGGAGACGTTAATTCAATTTTATAAACTTCCTTAACAACTACCTTCCTTATGGACCTGAACATTTTTTTCCCATCACGCTTCCTGAGCTGCAACCCTCCCATACTTTTTTGAATGCTTACATGATCTAGCTGACTTTCTGTCAGACCACTCCTGGACGGTGATCTGCTCCTGGGGCCCCCCTATGGAGTACTGGTCCTCAAAGGTGGAGTTCTGAGGAATGTCAAGCGGGTCCCAGGGTTCCGTCAGAGTGATCTTGGAGCACTGCTTGGTGGCTTGTTCAATCTGAAACATCACTCCATCTTTATAGAGCAAAATATATTCAAATAATCTGAAAGACAGATTAAAAGAGAATAGCTCAGGATTTGAAGTTACAATCACCATGCCTTTTATCAGCACAAAGGCCAAATCCTTTGGTTAAAAATTACTCTTAAAATGGAAAATAAATAGTTTTGCTTACAGGCAATCATTTACTTATTTATAAACACTCAACACATGAACCACCTGAATATGAAATAATTAAAGTTCAGAGCTCAAAACTGAATATTCACTGGACAATTACTTAGCAAGTACCATATGCCAGACTCTGTGATTGGGATACAAACAGCAAGACCTGGCCCTGGGTTAACAGACGGTTTGTAACCTATATTTCAGACACAGGGATACAAGAGGATTTGACCCTTGGCTTGGCTGAGCTCTCTTTACAGCAGTAAGTCAAGGAATTATAGGGGTACATATATTGAATGTAGGACAGGAAATTACGGGGAGTGCATATACTGAATGTAGGACAAGGAATTACAGGGGTGCATATACTGAATGTAGGACAGGAAATTACGGGGGGTACATATACTGAGTGTAGGACAGAACTCACTGAGGATGGACCAGGCACCTAAGCGCCAATGACTCAACTATCAGTCATGAGTAAAGGGCTTTGGTGAGGAGGCACAGCTGCCCTGAGAATGGATGAGCCTCACATATGGGGAGGAAGCTGAGACGAGCAACGACAAAAGCTGAAGGGACTCCAGAGTGAATGGCTTCCCATGCAATCTGTCTTCATGTTCTCTGCCTCTTGTCTCATGCCCACATGCACACTCTATTCCCAGGCTGAGCCGGGAGTCCTCAGACTGCCCATGATTGCCTACATGCCGTGCTGTTAACATTCCTGTGTCATTCTTAAAGCTATGCCATCTTGGTGTTGGTGAAGCCGCTGTGTTTCTACGCATTTGACTGTCAATCCAAAACTCAGGCCATGCTGCTGGTTGAGCAGAGTGAGGTTGCAGCCCTGACCAAAAAGTGAAATACCTAAGGGTGGAAGAGCTAGAGAAGTGGCTTTTCGTGAGCAAATATAGCCAACATAAATAATCTGTGATACTCCATTCCATAACCCCCATGGAGGACGTCTCTTCTCCATCCCAAATCTGAGCTTAACAATTATTTTCTTCAGGTAGAAGTATTATAAATGATCATTGTCTATATG